AACTACAATCCAATTCTTCGCTTGCGCGATGCGAGAAAACCTGTTTACCGGTACTCTACAGTACAAATACCGCGTGATATGTACTCGTCTATGGCGTTATTTATACTCTACGAAGCGTAGTTGGATGATAAAGAAACATATTAACTTAACAAAGGACTTCCTTTTTCCTTTGTCAGTCAATAAATTAACTTGGTAATGTGTGCTAGTTTTTCTGTCTCTTTGCCCCTCCCTGTCTTCTTGCAGTCATTGTTTGGTACATACATGTATCTGCCCTTTAATTTGTTTTAATGTTGCAGCCCATTTGTATTAATACTAACCGTTTTTCTTAATTCACATTCATTCTCAGTGCATCTAACTACGCTATAGTAATTTTGGAACATTTTACTTTTCTTTTTCAGTATTGCTAAAGGCGTCAAAAGCAGCCAAATGTAATGCTACTCCCGAACACAACATTTCAGACGCCACAGACTATACTAAGTGTCAGTTCTACACATTCTTGGAGCCTAGTAATTTATTCAACCATTACAACAAAAGCACCTGACTGTAATGATTATTGAAATCTGAACAATCACTTATCATTGGTTAAAAATAGCCCATATTCGGTGAATTAAGATTCCTGCGTGATTTTGAGGTATTAACAAACCTGTCATCTTTGCTCGATTATTGTGTCTCGTAACTCCAAGAGACTCTAGCATAAAGAAAACAAAACAAAATGTAGAATATTTACTTAAAGGCTTCTATGCCATGTTAGAATTGACATACGTCATGCAAGCGGTAGAGGTTCACATAGCCAACGCAACATTCCGCGTAGCTTTGCATATCCCGTGGCGACTCGTTCGCATAGCCGCAAGCCATATATGGCACTGTTTCGAATTAAACTATAGGCGCCAAATTTTTATTAAAAAAACAACCAGCCTATAGGAGAGACGAAAACAAAAGTAGCTATTTACTTTGTTCCGCCTTCAACTTTACGGCATGCGTGACACACTGTGAGGTTTAAAGTCAATTCGATTCAGTAACCGCCATCGCTAGTCTTAAGTCGTAACTTACGACTAAATAAGCGCTTGATTGAGCTGCTACAAACGTTTCTCATGAAATGGTGACTTGAGTTTCCACTTCTACTGCATAGTATCGACATTGCTCCACACCGCTGAAGATTATCGCTCGTGACAATTTAATAACAAGCAACTAGCAAGGATGTAATCAAAAATCGCAAAACACACATTCGTTGCCCGAAGAAACTGGTAAGTTTTTTCAAATGGATCTATCTACGATAAGAATTGTCAGAGGATGCCGCTGAAGATGGTAATACATACAGGAATACCTTGAAATCCATAGTATAGGGTTGTGTTGAACATTATCTTTTAGTCGAACATAAAATCACGCCAGTTGAAAGGTTCGTATTACTATGAAAAAGTTGCTATTGCTGAACAAGGTTGATCTCATTTGGTAGAGCTTTCTACCGCAACTAAAACAAGCAGAGTTTCGAATCTTCATGATCGAATAAGATTCCTCACTTTCCCACGCTCCCGAAAAATCTCTTCCTTCCGTATTTTTTAACTTTGGAATGTGCTTAACAAATGACTGGCTTAAATTATTGGTGGCTTACGACTTTTAAAGTTCAAAATATCGAATCAAAATCGAACTTAACTGTCAGACTGGAATAGCAAATGGCATTTAATTCTCCTGTCAGTTCCGTGACATGGTACAAAGCGATCGGAGTAAAAGGCCATTTTACAGTTGTGTACTTAGTTGCCAAGCCCTTGATTTGGAGTGAGGCTGAAGGTGACCTTGTCGTGATAGAGACCTGTATCTAGGTAGCATGATAACAAAGTGATATACATTTGAAAGGTAGCAAGCTTTGTATCATAACAAGGTCACCCTCAGCCTCGCTCCCATTCAAAGGCTTGGCAACCAAGCACACAACTGTAAAATGGACTATTGTATTCAAATTCACTGTTTAATTTAATCCCTGTCATTTCTGCCTCACACTTCAACCAAGCCCGTTGATACTCTAATTGACATAATTCATAAGAAGAAAAAACATTTTAATTTTTCGTCGCCGCCTACACTGTTTCATCGCTAATAATATACATGAAAAAAATTCTCAGTTCTGATTGGTTAAGATGAATGCAGTTTTCAGTTAATTCAGTGCAGAAGAGAGGTCAGTGTAGAAGAGGGTTAATTCAGTGCAAAGAAAGAAACAAACCAGACATTCTGATTGGTCAAGGTCAATGTCACTTATAGGGTTTGAATAAATTATTTTTGCACCTGATGCGCGCGCTTTTCTTCTGCGTAGTTATGAGAAGCTACCTCGTATTTTTCATGTATATTAGTAATACATAATCTCGTTGCAATTTTGTTAGTCTTTTAACAAATTTACTCGTGCTTATTTATTCCAAATTGCACTCGAAATCATGTGATTACCTATACAAAGTTATACAAAAACAATTCTTTATAAATGCGATGATTATTCTTTAATGCATATTCTGTAATAAAATTTCTGGCCGTATAATGACACAGGACGAGGCGCACAGCTGAAGACGTGGGTTTGATTGACATCTTTCATTATTAAGGAACATCCTGAGTAAACCTGCAAGTTCGTCTCCTCGCTCAAGGAGACAATAAATTAGGTGTTCAAACAACAACGAAGGGATTTCGAACATTCTACTTTGAGGATATTTAAAAATATCGAACAGAAAATTATTCCATGTCGTTCTAAGAGTCCAACATTGCCAATATCATGATCTTAATGCGTGATAAGCAGTTAACGTTAAATGAAGTTGGCGGAGTGAATGTTTTAAGTATTTGTTCAGACAGTTCGAATCTACAGGGTGCCAGTTGCGTGTGTTGATACATGTTTCGAGGAGGCTGTTTAAATCTTGTAGAATTCAGAAGCAAAGGCACTCTGTACCTGTTGATACCTCCGTTTCGTTCCGAGAATGGATGGGATTTGTAAAGCGGGGATCCAACGATCAACTCCATTAATAGTCTTACTCTTGCATCATTTGGTTCTTGGCTATTCCCTGCAACCGCAGGGCGAGTGTATTGTCTTAAAATCTTGTTAGGTTAGATCGTGAAGTTTTATTTTTTAGCTTTTATGATGCGAATTTCGTAGTGCGTGCAAACATGGCAAAATTCGGCAGAAAGCGACTTAGCGTTCTTTAGGAGTCCCTGGAGGGCAAACGGATCAAACTTAAAATAATGTGTAGTTTGACAGCGATGCTTCCTCAGACAGCCGCATTCGTTAAATTATTCGATCAATATCGTTTTCAGAACGAAGTATCGTTAAAGAAGAAAGTGTATATATACTTCAAGATCAAACCTTTAGTATGTTATAAGTGTCATTAGATTTGATTACGAACTGTGTTTATAAGAACGAAACTCGTGTTAAAGCTCACGTCGACACTCTTTGTGCTTGAAATAAAGGGTTTACTAAACAAAAAAAAGAGGACGCTACAGTCTGTTTGAGTAAACTTCGCCATAATTGTGCGCGCTTTTAATTTCACAAAATACTTCGACTTCTTAGCACTGTTATGATGCAAGTTTCATACGATTTCATTCATATTGGCGGAAATCACTTCGCGAAAATCACTCGGCGAATAACACTCTGGTTTCGCTGTTCGCAAGCTGATCATAATCTTCGTGATATCAACATGTTTTATTTCGTTTAACGTTCCATTATTGAGACACTACACTTAACTTCTGAGTCCCTTTCCATTTTCGCAATACATCTTAGCTTTCATTTGATGTACGTTTCACGGGAGAGGCTACACGTCACCAAAAAGTCCATTCGCCACCGGTGCCGAGTTGACTTCGAGCGGTGGCGAGTTTGTTGTGGTGGCGAATTGATCGTAAACCGTACACATGAAATATCCGGTTTAGGACTCGGAGTCTATAGTCTTATATTATTTTTCGCCCTTTTCCCCCCGCCCCTTTCCTCATATTGCTTGGTTCACGATCTGAAACCACACGTTAATTCGCCCAACACTTGAGATCTTTTCTGAAACTAATCAATGATCTTTTCATTAATTACTAGATGAAAAGCAACTATCCCGATCATCTTGGTTCTAAGTATCGAAACTCGTCCATCGTGGTCATGGCTTTCTCTGTTTGGATTTCACTTGGCTCGTTGTTTCTTCCTTGCACAGGTAAGTAGTATGAACTTACAGCAAAATCTCCGCAGCTTACAGCAAAATAATAATGTTTTAAACCCAAAATTCGTATCTACGAGAACTCTCGTAAATTTACCTTGCCTTAAAGGGTTTACTGTAAGTCATCGTCAAATATGGCTGGGAGACTGAACCTGTACTGGGTGGAATTTGTCTTAAGGCTGTCATTTTGAAATGCATGTAACTGATCAGAAACCTCTTTTATTTCAATGATATCGTTTAAAAAAAAATCAAAATAAAATGACCCATTCCCTCTGACGAAGGGCAATTAAACTCGAAACGTCTGCTTAAGAAACTCTATGGTAGCCAATTTGCGCTATCAACTCAGTTAATTGTGACGATAGTTCTCGACGCGGGAAACTGGACTTGGTGGGAAACGTACAAAACGTGGGGAAATAACTCGGTAGAGACCGCTCGGTTTGCGAGAACGGAAACTCGTCTCGATTTCCTGGTACACGGAGATCTACTTCGAGCGAGCTTTTACGGACGTCAAGGATGAGTCAGCGTTTGGTTCCACAGTAGAGTTATATTTTAGGTCAGACTAACAAGCTACATGATTCTCTAGCCTCTTCAGTATAGTAATCTAGGATGTAATCAACAAAGCTTGCTTAAGTACTATCGAGCTCGCCGTTCTCTTGTTCTTTAAATTGACAATATTTAAATAAGAATTACAAAGGAACAGAAATGATTTACATTGGAATATTTATATTTCGAAAATGAAAGAGCAGGTTCAATAAACTTTATGCCGTTACTAAATTTTCTCGTGACATAATAAAATCAAATTGTCTTGAATTACCTCTTCCACCGACGCAACACCAAAGTTTCTCAAGAAACTTACCCGATTTATTCATTTTCGTCCATCAACTCACTATTACACAATTTCCAGTAGAAAGACACGGCCAGCCTGAAAGAGTACTGAGACAAAAGAAACACTGATTGATTGACCACGACGAGAAACTAAAAGAACCACTGTTCATGAAAGTCACTGCTAACCTAAGAATACACTTTATGGCCTCATAGGCCAATGTTAAGTTTTAAAAATGAGCTGAGAAATACCTATTACAACTATAAGCAGACTGCAAAATGAAAATTCCTTTCTTGCTAAAGTTAACTTTCAAAACCTTTCTATTGCAGTCTCTCAGTTTCATGTTGAGGAAGTTTTTGTTTTTGTTTTTTGTTGTTGTTGTTTCACTAAAGGACTTATAATATGCAATTTGACTCGTGAAGAAATTTTTTTCTATTACTTTTTTTAAGTCAACTGCTCGAGTAGTGTTCATCACTGCAAAGATCGCTTTGATATTCATTTCTTAGCCCCAGTTCACACATGATTTTTATATATTCACAGTTACTCTTCTTTTGTTCGCAGCATTCTTAGAGGCGGGAGTTTCCAGCTATCTTGAAAACACTGTGTCTCACGTTCCTGAAGCCGGCTGGAATCTGGTGAAACCATGGGCTACTAAGGAACGGAAAGGCTTCTTTGCGGCCGATGCCGCAGGAGGAATAATATATCAGGACAGATTTGTTACACCCGAGCAAGGAATATACTTTATTGCACTGAATTTACAATTGACAAATGTAACTGCTGGCATCTTAAAAGCGAGTCTGGTGATAAATGACGAGTTTGACAAAAAAAATGGATTCGAAGGTTTTATTGGAACGACCACGTCAACAGAAACCTTAAGTATGTCTGGGTTTTTGCTTCTTTATGAAAATGATGTCATAGCTTGTTACCTTAGTGGCGCAGCGGGATTGTTGTTGCCAGAGAGCACTTTTTCAGTCATGAAGATGTCACGTCGAGGTTCTGTCCCAGGTTTTCACGGTGTATTGTCACGTAACCAGGATATCCAGCCTCAGGCCACAAGCCGGCTTAAATATTGGACAACCACTGGGTCCAAGGGTTTATTTGTGATGGGCAGCGGAACTTCCCCGTCTGTTGGACTATATTGCTCAATTGTTGATGGCATTCACAAATTCACGTCAAACATAAACCTTGAATCGAAAAACCAATCGTCGAGCGTAGATCTAAGAATTGTTTTAAACTCCAATACTACTATGGTGAAAAGGTACTCGTCAGGAACGAAAAGATATTCCACTAGTGTGTCCGGAATGTTTAACTTGAAACGTGGAGATTGTGTTGAGATGAGGATTGAGTGTACCAGTGGTGGAAACGCTAAAGTCCTAAATGGTACTAGTTTTTCAGGCCTTCTTCTTGGTCAACAAAAGGAGATCAATCAGCAATTCTCCGTCAGTTTACCTTTCCAGAATCAATTGGAAACGGGACCCGGATGGAATAAGGTTCAAAACTGGATCGTAAACAACTCAACGAGGAACTTTCCAACACAACAAATGATTCTGAAAACAAATCATAGTACGTTCATATCGGACACTAACGGAGTGTTCATCGTGGTAGCTGTCATAAATATAAATGCTTCAACAGAGAGTCAGAATGATTTAAGACTGCTTGTCTCAGTTAATGAGCCTTCGTCTGGTGTAACTGGTAACAGCGGACTATTGGCGGCATATTCATTCTCTTCAAGTCTCAGATCGTTACTTGTTTGCGGTCTTGTTTCGCTAAACAAAGGAGATTCACTAGGTGTTTACATCTATGGCGATTATCGTGAAAGCGATTTGGTGGATGGACTGTTTTGTGTTTCTGCTGTCCCCTACGACTGGCCGGGTGTAGCAGCTTCGCTCTCAGAAACTATTCCTCTGAATTCCCCAGAATGGACGAAACTTACCGAGTGGAATACTAACGGCGTTCCTGGGTTGTTCGCCTTCGACAATGCGTTCTCTCCAACCAACGGAGTTTATCGGCCACATCAAGATGGATCGTACTTTGTGTCCTGCAACGTAATTTTTGAAGGTGAAGGTCAGGGGAATTTGTCAGCCATAATCGCCATCGACGACGCTTTAGATTCCGGAAACGGACTGTACGCATTAGATGAAAATCCTAGAAAACTGGTCACCCTTAATGTGGCTGGTTCCATAAAACTTAGAAAAAGTCAAAATGTCTCAGTGTACGTCAAAACAACCGCATCGTCATCCTGGAACATTTCTATTCAAACAGGTTTTTCGGTGGTGTTGATTGGAGCAGATTCTCTCGTTACCCCTGGAGTCTTTGCAGGTAAGGCTGTTTATAGTTGTGCGAATATAAAACTCTCGAAACAAAAGTTTATCTTTCAAATTGGCTCCGTTAACCTCATAGATAACAACGAACGCTTTTTATTCTACTAATTTATTAGTGTTTTCTCTTCACCATGTTCCCACCAATAGCGTAGCTCCACTTTTAGCATATAAACCCACACACAAACCACAATTTCTCCATTCGCTTTGACGAAGGGCTAACGCTCAAAACGTCAGCTTTTTAACTCTTTACGGTGGCAAAATTACAATTTCAATTCATTAAAAATATACACGCAGTAACCTCACAAATACATTACACTGACTGGATTTGTATGTGTCACCACAGGCGTCCCAAGCTCACGTCTCGAGCAAAAGCGAAGGATTATTTCATGAAAGCGTCACGCGTTGTGCGACGCGCTGTTAAGTTACGCGAGCAACCGTTGAGAATTTGAATGCGTTATAAGGAATAGTATGGGGAACAAAATATGGTCCATTTAAATCACTAAATATTCCGAAAAATGAACATTTTGCACGTTAGATTGATAAAACTTACTCATTCCTTGTGTGTCTGTTGTGTTTTTTGGTGATTTCTGCTGTTTTGGGCTTGCATTGTCATCACTGTTTTTCCTGTTATCAGACGAAGTCCAGGCTGCACGCTACGATTTCGACCATTGTCCACGCGGAGGCGGTTTGCGCCCACAAAATCCATCTATTCGGCAGTTTTTTTACCCACAGCTTGCGATACAAGATCATTGCACCCTGGAAAGTATCTCCGCGCAATACGCTGAAAACAAGCGTTTTGTACCATAATTTCCACGTTTTTTCCTTTCTGCCAGAGCCTTAGACTCACAGACTGGACACGACCGCGCAAGAGGATTGGGTTAATTTTATCTCTACCGAGAGTGGTACGGTCTAATACTTACCCTATCCCCACAGTGACATCTCGCTTTAATCCATTGTCCTGATCTACCAATCGAACAGCGAGGTGACGCAGACACAGATACGTGACAAAGACAACGGACTACCGTCCGAAGTAAAATGCCATCGAAGGCGAAAAGATGCAGTGAAATATGACAACGAAGCGAATAGTAGTTTTTTTTTTTTAGTGAACTCGGTAAAAATCTTCGGTAAAAACAGTAGCTTTCTATATACGATATACGATATACCATACTGTTTTTCAAGATTACCGAGTGAGAATTAATTGAGTCATATACACAATTCATTTTTAAATTCACCTATTGATCTGATTTCTTCGACATTCTTATTCTATGACGTTCTCAGAATCCCAAAAGAGTAAACAATCGCGAAGAATCAAAAAATAAATCCTTGGGGAACATTGTGGACTGATTATTCATTTCAAAATCACGATCGAAAGGTTTCAATCTATACATAAAATTTTTCATTGCGAACCTTAGATAAACATACTACACAACAAAACGTCTAATAAGGTGTAAGTATCCAGTTGACTTATTTGCATATAAATGCGCTCGTGCACGATGCAAAACGTGTCCTTTCATTCACAACACTGATAAAATATCGGAACCTAAACGATCCATTAAGATCACGGATCACTTCACGTGCACCTCCGCCAATGTAATCTATTGCATAACTTGCACTTATTGTAAAAAGATATACATCGGCGAAACAGGCAGAAGACTAGGTGACCGATTCCGAGAACACCTTCGAGACGTGGAAAGGAATGACAAGGACACATCGAAACCAGTCGCTAGACATTTTAATTTACCTAATCATTCTAAGCAACATATGGCAATCTGCGGTCTTTCCTT